ACACCAGAAGGCAACACACAAAAGGCTTATGTACAGTACAACACGTGGATACCCCCAGTAGACGCACGCGGACACGATACCCGGACACCGATTCATGGCGGAGCCAATCATGGAAAAGCCACCATATAGCGAAACCGCCAGCAATAGAATAACGATTTTTTGGGAACTATCATCAAATCAAACAAAGATTTAGAACTTTGACAATATGTCATAACACACCACTCATCTAAAAACAGAACAACCCAAACCACACAACACAAACAACCAACAACCCCGCACCAAACAACAACTCAACAACCACCAGGAACCAAGACAACCACAAAACAAACACCCTAACACGAAAACACCACGAAACCCATAAACAGCCAAGCCGAACACAACCCAACACGCACACAACACGCCACCCCCCACTTTCCACACTATAACCCTATCAATTGAAAAATCAAACATGTTAATAAACAATATAAATAGACAATTATGACTATAATATAAGGATAATGACATATACGGATTATCAAGATAAAGAAAAATAGCTACCATAAAACACCATAATCAGTCGGCTTACGTTAAATAAGAGCCTAGTTGCTAGTATTAATTTATGCCTGTTGAATTCTTTAAAACCAAATTAGAAACCCCTATCTTAATAAATTGCTAAACCACATCAGGAGCATCACTCCCATAAAGTTTAAACCATTTGATATATTATTAAAAAGCGAGGAGCACACAACAGTAAATCTACAAGGCATGCTGCACTCAAAACACAGGGATCTTACCGACTATCACCCACCACATCCTATCATTCACCACTTGAATTCATCGAGCTAACCAACAGCAATCCCCGAATGGATGAAATGGAGAGACGAAACAAAAGGTTTATCTAGACTAAACATGCCCATAGCATATGGTTTTTCAGAAAGGACGGCCAAACATCGACCAAAGGGACAGGCGACAACCAGACAAGGACTAGCACACAGCAGCAGCAGATGGATGAGGATGGATTGAAATACACACATGTGTCTACTTTAGAACATCCATAATCAAAATACAGGGAAGGTCAATAAACTTGAATGCGATACCACTAATGCCAAGCATGCCAATATTCCTCACAGTACCAGCACAACTTAGAGTAGAACTACAGACGCAACTATGCAAGGCGACAACCACATATTCAAGGTGTTACTCGAAGACAGCTGGAGAGATGTCCCCAACATATCGCTGCTCCCGAGAAATAGGAGGTACCCGAATATACCCCCCCCCTACAAAGTATGCAAAACCGCAAGGAAAAAACCCGAAACACCCGACGAAACGAGGGAAAGAAAAATGGATGCTCAAGTTCAGCAGGTAGCAATGTCACGACCAACAGCACAAAATATGTGAGGTATTATATACAAAAAACTCAGACACAGTAAAATAGCACCTCTTCATAAAAAAACGAAGCCACAATAAGGCAAACTATAATGTGTCTGATTAATAACAGAAACAGGAAAGGCCGAAACAACAACTGAGAGTTGAGACCAGGGATCCAAGGATCCGAACCGGGTCTGCAGATGAAGGTATACTCGCATACATCTATCCCCATTGCGTAGCCCTAGGTGCTGAAAGCGGCGGCACTACAGGACAGGACCAAAGGAATATACACACCTACCCTACTACGAGCAACTATACGAATAAGGTCTGAGCCTACTGTCTCACCAACTCGAAGTCATACAGTCGAGAACCTTCAGCATTATTTGCCATTCGACACAAAGCTAACATTAGAACAACGCATCAGGTAACAGAACGACTCAGAAATTCCACATAAGTTCTCTTCGCCATTCACTCGAGTTCACATACTGATTATACATACAGTACAACGGGCAATACAAACACACACTTTAGTCTCAGTACGTCGCTTAAAGTGTTCCTAATACTGGTGCATTCAGCAAACCACTAGTGCTGATAGGTAGTATGGGTCACGCAAGATCATAATAACAACACTCAGCTCAATCGTATGATACTGCTACTCCGACACTCACTCCTTTAACACCCGGACCACATGTTACAAGCACACTTGAATCACGATGCACTACAGAGTAATGATCCCCATATATGAAGACGCTATCTGACAATCCTACAACCTTTAAAATCCGTCACACGAAGACAATTCATTATGCTCGAAACATAAGCGTCGCAGCCTTAGCGAGCTGAACTACGGAAGCGATAAAGACGCAGACATCGAGATCCGCCATTGCTGAAAAAAGTGGTCATTGGAGTGAACGGAGATGACGTACTCGGAACGTGTGTATGTTTCTGGAAGTGAAACGAGGAAGCAGAAAAACAGAGGTCTGTGATGTATTTTGTGAAACAGAAGAACAGCTAAATAAATGCAACGGCCTCCCAAGAAGAGCTCGCCTCTCTCCAGTCATTTAAGCTAAAGTGGGTTATTGAACCTGAAGCTTGTTGCTTCTGCCCTCCTCGACTACGGTCTGGGAGCCGACAGGAAAGTTCAACACACAGATGGCCAGTCCGCCCCTTTGTAGCATATTATTTCGATGAGAGATGAGCAGATCGCCACTGGGCTTTCAACTAAATACACAGCCACGCAAAAACTGCGGCATTTGTACAGCTCCTTATGGGTACTGCAATTAGTGAAGTGCTTTCCTCCGTGGTGAAACGATCAGCACTGCACCACGGAGGAAAGCGGCAGAAAGTCGCCTGGAGTTAAAGAGAGCGGGGCTGCGTTGCGTGCATGGCTTCCTTCTGCAGGTAACGGGGAGACGCGCTCTGGCGGCGGTCTCGTTCAGGATCCGAAAATACAATTTAAATATTATTGCACACTTATTCCACTTATTCCTAGTTTGCCACTGGTTACGGTGCCGCGTGCCAGCCAGGGGTTGCCGACCCCTGCTTTAACATATCACATCGATTTAATAGAAAATAGTCAAAAATGTCTGTTCCACTTTCTAAAAGTTCAAGGTAAGATCGTCAAATGTCTTGTTTTGCTAATCCAAAACCAAATCAAATCAAGTTATTCATGTTATTGTCATCAAATCCCATAAAAACACCAACACTTAGTGACTTCTACCCTCTCTGTTTCACTAAAAGGCCAAATAGTTTTCCTTAAAAAGCTAATCCCTGCATCTTTCTGCAGACGTTACACAAACAGGAAGAAATAGTGCGGATGAATCCACATGTGGAGCTCTAGTGAGTGTTTGGGGCAGAAGCAGAGTTTCCGTTGACTGGTAAAATATGCTGAAGACCGGCAAATCTAAATCTCTCCGGTCAAAATGTCCGGTCAAAATAATTTTCCCTGATGTGACAGACAAGAAGACATTTTGTGTGTGCTTTATATGACAATTTTCCCAGGAGGCGAAAGTAATGGGTTACATTTGTTATGATGTGTTTTAAATGTGTGTAATTTTTATCCTAGGTGTCCTGCTTTGGCAAAGTCTTAAAAAACGGTGTGTTTGTGTACTATTGTGAAATGCACTGAGAGGCTTCTGTGACTTACTACTGCAGCTCTGGCGAAGATGATGGGCAGGCCGAAGGCTGAGATGACGATGCCCGTCGTGAGGAAGATGGCCAGCTCTTTGCAGGCGTTGCTGGCCGAGTCTGTGTCGTCCACCACCCTCCGAGAGATGCAGTACGGGATGGGGGACAGGATGTAGAAGAACAGGAGGAACAAAGGCCAGTATTTACTGTAGAAAGAGGGAAAAAAGAAACATAAGTTAGTCATTTAAAGGTAGGGTAGGTAAGAATGGAGAAAACAGCTCGAGTGCGCTAGAATCTGAAAGTACGCAGCCGAAAAAAATCTGCCCCTTCCTTCAGACTTCCTCACAGAGCCCCTCCTCCAACACACAAGCACGCGCACATGACCAATGAGGGCACGAGATAAGTTTGTGCACAGATGGAAGGCTGACAGGCAGGTAGGCCATCCAGTTACTTTAGCCGGGCCGGCTCAGATGATTGCTCGTGCTTTTTAAAGCACCACAGCTTCCACAGATGAGATTTTTTGATGTATTTATTGTCAAAGCATTTCATATATTCATTGCTATCGGGATGTTAAGTGTTTCTGAAGTGAATTACCTACCCCACCTTTAAGTGGACATTATCAACACGAACAATCTGAGAGGAATGCGTCCAGAAAGTGGTGGTACATATATTTGTAATAAAAGTGCTGAGGAAAACTGGAACAAAGATGGTGACTGTGTGCAGAAGATACACAAACAAAAGCCTTCAAATTGTGAAAATGTGCCGGAATAATTTGTTTATCAATGCTTGTATATTTCAACAATACTGCCATCATTTTGATCACTATAATTGTGATATTATTTGTTTTACTGTTTCATCTCTACCTCAGGGTTATCCACCATAAATATGAAACAAAAGACACAACTACATGAACAATTAGATATCAGAATATAATGTACATTGTTCTTTGTGACATGTGGTTTGGTTAGCACTTGGTGAGGCTACATTTAGGCATTTCAAAGTGCCGTACAATTAAAACAAAACAAACAACACATTATATAGTGACATTTAAATACATTGGAAACAGTTATATTGGAGCCCCCAGACAGGTTAATCCGACCTTGCTCCACACCTGCATCTAAAGCTGTAAACCCATGATGGGATCACCCAGAGTGCATGTGTGTGAGTGCCAAGTGTGAAAGAGTTCACACACACACACACACACACACACACACACACAGTGTGATGGTGATACTTACTCGTACACAGGGAGGGCACATCCTAGCATGAGGAACATGAGGCCGATGGCCCCCCCGAAGGACAGGCTGATGAGAGCTAAGAGAAGAGAGGAAGAGGGGAGGATATTAAGCATTTCACTACCCGGCAGAATACAAAGTCATTACAACTAGCTGCACCTTTACACATCAATCCATCAATAATTATAATCAAAACATATCATATATATTACTCTGAAATGTGCCAATCTGCATAATGAGTACTGAGTTTACCAAAAGTCTGAAAAAAAATGGTTTCGATGCTTATACTTTTGTACTTTTACTTGAGAAACATTTGCAAGAGAGTAGATATANTCTGGTGCAAGTAAAATTCCTGCATTGCAAAACTCTAGTAGATCTAATTTGACTAAAGTACAAGATCTGAGTACTTCTTCCACATCTGCAAGTACCTCAACATTTTACTTCCAATACTTGAGTACATGTACTATATTACTATCCACCACCACTGCCATCACATCCTTGCAGCATGCTTCTCCTGTGATGAATCAGCTGATTTCACGTGTAACAGCTTCATTTGCAGTCTAAGCCGGGTCATTAGGGACTCGTGTTAAACTCTGGGAGCATTACAGTGAGTTTACATGCTGGTTTAACAGAACATAATCCCGGCAGATCACTGAAGAAAGCACAGCATCTCAATCAAGTTAGGGTGCAGCTAGCATTAGCATTATAACGGTATCTACCTAAGTCATGAG